AATCATAGGTTATTGGCTTAATGCTTGGCTAAACACTACAAGTCTTTTTTTTTTTTTTGAGGTGGCAAAAAGTAAAGTTTGCCGTGGAACTAACTAATCACGAGATGCAAAAACGGCGTGAGAAAAAGTTTATGAATATTTATGCAGAGAGAGAGCAAAACTACTCAGTGAAAAGTAGGTTATTACCTCTTTTTCTTTTTCCTGTTTCTGTGGGCAAGGCATAGCTCTTCAGAGTGATACAAATGTAAACACAAGTTTTTTGATCTCTTTTTTATGCTAGGACTGCGCGTGCGCCTCCTGAAAAGTCATAAAAATATTTCATCGCTTTAACCCCAATATTTAAGAAAGTCTTGTATAATTATAATTATTGTTATAATATTTGGTCACATTTAAAATTGTTACAAATATAACATGGTGGTATTATTTTAAGAAAAAATCGCAACGCATAACTGTTGTTGACTGCAGTAACGCAGCGGCTTTTCGATCTCATTACAATGAAAAAGTGTCGTGCAATGTATAACCCGCACTAGCTAAATTTTAACGTGTACAGTTTTAACAACGAAATGATTGGAGCGTTAGCAGCCCTATTATATGTGGCGTGCGACATGAGAGCTCTCGAAACGTGCACGCGTGCGACTTAAAATACCGAGAGATGACCCCTTCTCGTCACCCTCCGCATAATAGTACACGATAAAAGGGAAAAGCTGCGCGTGGTCAGTTTAAATCCGCGCACTGGCGTCAATATCCAACGCAGTATCTGCGCGTGTCCCTTACCCAGCATGCAAATTGTTTCGAGAGACAGTACGATTGTTTTGAGTACAGATGCGAGTTTCAATTTAAGTAGCTGTGATATTGTGAATTTATTCAAGTTATCCGTTCGGATGGCTAAAAAAACAAAGCTGTTAAAACTTTAGAATAGCTTTGAAACAACATGCACCGGTAAATTACAAACATTGATTTAGGTTATAAATTGAGTTTTAGCCTTTTTTTATAAATTTTTTCTATTTTACGAACCGGGTTAATTCGATGAGCCAGCTCACGACGGTTTAATCCAATAACAACATCGGTGATCAATAATACGGAAAATTTGGGTCCTTGTTGGGACAGTAAGGAATAAAAAATTACGACGAATGTACGTCCTCTTCACTTACAGACAATTTAGATATGTGTCAAGTGCGAAGTCAGTTGGCAAAGCCCCGGTTTCAACCTAAACTTCAAATACATGATGACAAACGCACCGCGCTCGTCTTTTTTCTGCACCCGAATTTGAGCTCTATAAAATATTTAATTAAAGTTTTATTTAACATTAAATTTAATTTCTTCTAAAACTTTTCCTAAAAATTGCGAAAAAATTGATAGAAAATGTAATGTAAAAAGCAAGTTAAAAAATGTGTAAGTGTGTCAACTTTTGTTCGCTAAGAAATATCGCAAAAATGAATTCGCTTTTATTACAAATTTAAATTATGTTTATTTCTTTGAAAAGCAAATTCATGACTCGTACTATACATAACAGAATTCGTCCTTTTAATACTAATATATTTTTTATTTACAAAGTAACGAAAATAACGAATAAACAAAAAATTAAGTGGAAATCTCAAAAAAAAGTATTTTAAAAATGTTATTTGAGCCTCACTTCGATATCTTCTAAACTAGGTAGTAAAGTCGATTTTTTTCTGGAAACAATCTTTTTTGCAAAATTTACTTCCAATACAGTTGAAAATTTCTTAAACGAAACAATTCTACTGGAACATCAATAGACGGTCTGTTTTCAACCATTTATATTCGTGGACATTTTTTCAAAAATTCCTTTCTCTCTGAGTGAAAGCTGAGGGCATAACGAAAAAAAAATCAGCGTTAAATGAGATAACGAAGATATACTGTGTCCCGTCATCTTGCTCGAAGACACCCTTCAGCTTTACGCTGACTGATCGTCTCTATCTTCTTAATGCTCTTCCCAAATGGAATATGCTCAACGGAAAGATATTCGCGGGCTAGGTACTTCCCACATCGTTCATATGTATGTGCAAAGCGTTAGATGACATATTATAGCGTGTACGCTACGGTCATTAGACTTGCGTTTGTCTTGAGACACGTTCTGAAATGATGTTTATGTAATGTCTTTTCATCGTTTGCTTTACCTTAAGAACAGCATAGGTCAGGGTTAATTTTATATATGCAACTTGATTGAAATAATAATGCTGATTTGAAGGATCCAAACTATAAAAAAATTTTAGTTTCTAGAGAACTTAAAACTCTTAAATGAGCAAATCTGATCAAAAATATTTTTTTTCTGTTTCAGGTTAGTCATAGCGTGCATGTGTTATCTTTAAGCATCCAGTCGAGTGGTAAAGTACATTACAATCCCTATTAAAATCATAAACCTTTATTACGGTAACGTTACAACGGTAATGAATCACTCTTTGTTGTAGTTAACTATTATGATATTTAAAGACTAGCTACAAACTAATCATCGAACCACAAAATGTGAACGTTGTTATCTAGGGTTTTTTAGCTTTTTACGTTGTATTAACAAATCGATCGTTGTATGCAGGTTTTATGTAATGAACGAGCAGCTTAATAACATGACTTGAGCGCGTGGATGATGATCGATCACTAACTTACAAATCAACGAGTTCTCTATTTTCCGGTATTAGAAGCACTGCACGTACATCAATCTAGAGAAATATTTATAATCCGCTGTGCACCCATGAAGATTTTTAGATTCTTGTAACGCTTGCAATAACTATCATCCACGATTCTTTCAACGTGTTTATTACGAATAAGTTGAGCATGCTTTTCAAGATCAAATCTGGGGACAACAGATTTTCATAATTTCTAACACACATGACTGAAAATTACTTCCTTGAATTTTACCCTTCATTAATTTAACATTATTAATTCTTTGATTATTCATCTCAACTTTTTAAAGAAATAGGACATCACCAGTGCGATTGTATCTCTCAACTTGTTAACCCATTAATTATTTATTTTATAATGATATAGGAACAACAACTTTGAAAACACTCAAGGGTTCATCTAGTCTTTATCAAAAATAAAATAATTACGAGAAAATGTCATATTGTGTGAAGATAGCTAAACAGATTCGTTTGTACAGAAGTAAAACTAGTTTTTATGATAAATTCAATCATTAATTTTGTTCTCATAAGTACCGTTATAATCTGATAGTTAAAGCACCAACGATGGGTTGAAAATAACAAATATAAGATACGGTTAACTATTCCATCAGCGATAGAATAGTAAGACTCATCGTCATCCGCTTTTGTTGTTTCGCATCGTGAGTGTACATACTATGATCGTGCGTGAGAGTGAGAGTGCAAAATTTTCTGATATTGTGGAAAAAAAATTCCGCAATGTTTAGGTTTTTTACTGTTTCAAGGAATTAGTACTTTGCTTCTTGACTTTTCTCGGAATCAGAAATTTAAATTTTATCACTGGTTCACTACTTAAATAATTACTACCTCAATTAATTATATCAAAAGTTGAGAATAATACGAATTTTTTTTCCTAATAAAAATTTTGTTCAAAATTTATATTCAAGTAACGCACCAAAGTAATAGTTTTGATAATGTATTCTAAAAGGTACCTTTTAAATCTTCGTTTCATTTTTCTTTTTTTCGACTTAGTGTGAAAATATAAGTGGAAATTTGTTTTACCACTGAATCGATCCCTATAACGAAAGTTTCGCCGCTAGGCGAGAGTTATAGATATGATTATGCATAAATTATGAAACATACTTTTTAATGCACAAGAAAATATTTCTTGGTTAGTCAACAAATCTTTTATAAAACTTTCCCTAAAGCTTCTTTTCACTTTTTTTGCGCTCAGCTCGAAAAGTAATTCGGAGCATTTAACTTTTTCTTGTCACGACATATCGTAGATATCGCATTAAATGTTGAACCCAAGGAAAAGAGAAAATCTTAAGGCAACGCATGTTTTGAGAATCTTTCCCAAAGTGTGGTGAGAAAACTATTTTAACAGATAGCATAATTTCAATGCGCATATGTTTTGTGTCGTAATATAATAATTGGATATCAAAATGTAATTTAATTGATGCTTGTAAATAGCTTGTTAAAAATGTCTTTATAAAGTAATCGAACAACATAGTTCTTTTTTTACAACTGCAGCGAAGTAATTTCGTTAGTTGGTAACATTTTTGCATTCATATTAGAGATGCGACAGATTTGTGAAACTTAATATTTTTTTCACAGCTTCAAATCTTATAAATACATTCTCACGCATAAAAAAGGCGCAATGCATAAAAAGGAAGTAGAGCTCACCACGCTTTACGACGAGCTTCAAGAGTATCAATTCTCCTAGTGCATGAGTGAAATTGGAAGCACGTGTGATGTTAGTCTTAATGCGTAAACGTCATTGTGTATAACCGGATTTTCAGATGATTTTTACCCGTAAAATTTTATCAATTTTTTGTTATTTCAGCTGCATTCTTACAAAAATCAAACTATGTTGTCGGTGTCTTTGAATTAGATTAGAAGCACCAAACACTACTGATTTATCAGGCGTATGTTTAAATAATAAGTTAAAATTACTAATTAGCATTACCTAACTTCGTAAAAACGTCCAACATACAGATGCACCGCAAGAACTTGAAGATGAATGAAAATTACTCGAAGTTATCATCAATTGAATTTTTTCGTAAATTTTCAGTTATTTTCCTGGTTGATTATTAGCTTATAAAAATGCTTCTTAGCTATTCATAACGTGAATTAAAGCGGCTGAAAAAAACCCTCACGAGTCTTATTTGTATAACGACATGCAATCTTTTCTTGACAATTCGTATGTGCCGTTTTGCCGTAAAGGAATCTTATAGTAACATAAGTCGATGCAAGTTAGCAAAGCAGCAAGCAGCTTGAAAGCGCCAGAGTAGTCGATAGAGTGCGCTGGGGTCGTTGGAACAAGGCAGCGCAGAATCGCACCGCAAGAAAAAGTCGTCGGCGTGTATCGAGCAGTCGACTCTAAGCGTACCATCTGTGCGCACGCTTGTGTTTATGTGTTTGTGTATGTACACAGAAATATGCTTTCTAACTGTCAGTAATTTTGACGTTTGAATTGCAGCGTGATTTTTATTCGCCCAAGGGATCGTCGAGTGATAATTCGGTTGCATTCGGTTGCTATACTCTTGAGTGCCCAACAAAAAGTGCCCGTTTTAATGCAGGTAGATTATTGAATATGCCAATATTATCGGGAAAGTGCAATGATCTTGGCGATTTTTAATTGTGACGTGAATGAACGAAGCGTGCGTGCTTGTGTAATAGCGAATCAAAAAAGTGATAAATAACGTGAAATATGTGTGGAGTGTTTTTTAAATACACTGTAATGTAAAATGAAGATAATCATTTTATCCGTGCCCCGTTTTAATGTCCAGTGCGAGCAAGACGTATGATCACCCTCTTGTGCTTCATTATAGACAGCAGCAGCAGCAGCAGCTAAGATTGAAGCAGCCAAAATAAAGAAAAAAATAACTCCTAAGAGTCGATGAAAAAAGTGGACTTGTCATACGCATATGCTATGTAGTTATCATTATAGTCTGCGTCAAATTTGTTCGCCTTTTTTCGCGTACATGCACCTTTCCTCTCTGTAATCATCGACTCAATTAATAAAAAAGGGAGAATGAAAAAAAACCATCTAACTGGTAGGCGTATGACGTGAAAAAAGCGCAGCAGGAGCATCCACCCTTGGAGTGCATGCGCGAATGGTGAAAAATGCTAGGTGCAGAGCAGACGGCGGCACTCGTGGTGACGGCTGAACCGGAACCACCGAAACGTCGTTCGACCTTTTACGTTTCCCTCGACACTGATTCGCCCCGTGGCAGTATGATGTCGAAATTCCACAAATCCATATCCTGCGACTCGGACAAATATCTGGCCGGTGGCTTTCCGTTGTCGCAGTCCAAGACGGCCCCGAACGTGACGCTGTTGGCGAAGCTCCACAACGACGCAGGCTGCTCGAAAAATCAAAACGATGCCTCGAACGTGAGTAAAGTACAGTCGCTGACACGCATGTTCGAGATGACACCGAAGACGAGCAAGGCAGCAACTGAATCGGCAGCAGCGAGCACGAGTGTACTCGTCGTCAACAACAACAATCTTAAGGCACCCGAAGTCGTCGAGCAGAAGAAAAAAGTTGAACGTACCAGATCGTTTAAGACGATCGAGCGATTTCAGAATCGATTCACGGGCAAAAAAGACAGCAACGCGATCAGTCGTAAAGAGTCTAACGCTCGACAGAGCAAGAGCGAAGCGGAGAAAAATAAAGAGAGCGAGAGCGCGTCTGGTAAGAGGAGGAGCAAGTACGAGGATCAGGCTCCGCTCGTGATGATCGAGAGACGCAACAACGGCGCAACAGCCACCTCGTCTCAGGCTAAACTACTCAACAACAAAGTGAGAACGCGCGAGCACGCAAAATCTGTGATGGTCGATAACCAGAGGCAGAAACAAAAACAGCAGCAGCAGCAGCAACAACAGCGCCAGCATCTGGTGACAACGCCGAGCTTCGCTAATTTAATCAGAAGAACGCACAGCACGAAATTAGCTCGCAGCACCAGTGCATCGCTCGTGCGTAGCGGTAGACACGCTTCCATAGACAATTGTAGCGTGATCGTGCTCGGCGCGAAAGAGGAGGAGGTCGATTCCGGCCACGACGAGATCGAGATGGAAAAGAAGCGAAACGGCGAGACCGACACGGACGCTGGTGCCCATTCAGGTAAATTCGTATTCATTCGATAGCGAGAGCGAGTCTGCGCGACTGACTATAAATCTATCGAGTACGAGAAAAATTGCACAATCGCGTATCTCGTAATCGAACCGATTGATGATAACACCGGTATATATGCGTCAACTTTTTTACATAAGTCGTGCAGCGTACGAGCTAGGCTCGATTATGCAGGTAAAATACTCGCCGTGCACGATCAGGAGTTACACATGCACATTATATGCGGTGCAGCAGAGCTGCTTATACGCGTTATATTTCATATCAAGCATCGTTCGCCAGGCGAAAGTAAAAAGGCACGCTTAATGTAGCGGAAATTTGTGTTAAGTGACCGCAGTATAGCTAATATAATACGCACACGCTGCATGTTATTAGATTTATTTAGAGGCATTGCGCAAGCGCGCATCGTGAAATATTATGCGCGCTGAGAGGATGTGCTTGTAATGATCGGCTCGCGCTCCGACTCCGGCTACCAGTTTAATAAATGATATTTCAATCAGCAGTCCCGCATCTTATCGGGCTTTGTTATTCTCGGAGACTGCGAGCGCGTTACAAACAGACCTATGCGCTAGCGAGTACGTATACTCTGTTTGGCCTCGGTTTACACGTACACGAGTGAGTACGTTACATGTGCACGGAATGCCTTGCGATGACACTTGCATTCGACTGTACGTTGGAGCCTATTGTTTTAGCCGTACGCGATGATATGCCCGATCGATCTCGTCTCTTGGACTGCAATTAACGCTCTGGGCGATCGATCGCGACTAATGACTGCGCTTCGCGTGTTTTTTCTTCGAGCGAGCACGCCAACGGACACTGGCTGCATATTACGAATGTCATAACTGGCCGTAGCGAGTAACCGCAAAGCTCGAGCTCCGTTCCGTACGTACGCGATAAACATAACTTTTGACAGTCGAGTCTCGACGCTAACAGACCAACAAGCAGCGCAGCCCGTACAGTGCGTTTAACGGAGTATAAAAGCCTGCTACATGGAAAATTATCCAGTTACTTTGCTATTCTGCAACTTGGTTTCGGTACGTCTATGTATCTACGTAATAATACCTACACGTCAGCGAACCGTCATAATATCGCGTACAACTTGCCGCTGCCGCTCGAGTCACCGTCGTATTGTTGCTCGAGAGTACTTTTTTTACGATATTTACACATTTTCAAACGGGATTGCTGCATTACGGTAAGGAGAAAAAAAATGTCTGAACAAGCCACCGTGAATTATCAAACTCAGAGAAAAACTCGCTCGGGCCTTTCCAGCCAAGACGTACGTGAGAAAAAGCAACGTTTTTTATCATTTCACGAGCTCGAGGCATGGACACTTTAGCGAATAAAACGACTTTTAACACTGTATACTTTATTGTCCAATATGTCTATGTACGAAAGCCACTGTCGATACCCGAGGTACTTTTTTTTAGACGAAACAAGCTGGCACCCAGCGAGGCAATAAGTTAGGTAATGTGTTTTAGTCCGGTATTAATTAATGCGAGCGATGTTGCTGGGCGATAAAAGGACACGACCTTACAGAAAGCATCGAGCGAAAAGCACTTCCGCCGGCATATTTACTGCAGCATGCGCGAATCGAGCGAGCTCTCGAGTCGTCGTTGCGGGGATGAACAAGAAGACGAGTCTGCGCCTGCGTGTGAAAGGAAGATGAGACGTTTCCTGGTCAGAACGATGATGACAACGACCAGATAAGTCAATCCGATGCTTGACACTCATTTTTATCCTTTGCGCATATACGACCACTCGTTCTCAGCATAATACAATTGTGCCATTTTTTAACAACGCTTAAGCTGAGCTGTAACATCTCGCGAGTTAACTCTTTTTATTTCACGTCATGAGAATTAAAAGATCCAGAATACAGCCTTTATGCAAATATTCACCAAACGATTCGATCAGAACTCGTACGTATTACAATCTAAAATTTAGATAGAGTAATAATCCGAGTAAGAGCAAAAAGAAATCAGCCGGAACTCGAGTTTGCAACTCCGAGAGTGATATATTAAGGCTTCTCATATACTTTTACCTTGGACAGTTAATACATTTGGCCGCGAGAAGATGATAGAGAAGCAGAGAACAAAAGGATTGGAATTACTATATCATTATCATCATTGAAATAGAATGTAAAAAAACGAATGAGCCCTGTGAGTCTCGCTTTAATATTTATAGGGGAATTCTCAATTACGACGCGGATCGAGCTGCGGCGTTTCACGTGCTCTGGCGCGCACTTGCCGACGAATTGAACGTCGTGCAGCAAGTTTTCTTCACGTACAGTCGCGCGCGCAGCGTATTCGCAGCTCGTACACACAGCAGATGCAGGAGTCTTCGTCCTGAAACGGTGCGCGAGCTGAGAGTGTCGCTCCGCAGCCTCTACTCCAATAAACGCGAAATTGAATTTCAGTACAAACTGCAGCAGCCACTCTACCTACGCTATAATTCATGCATCAAACAGTAAGATAGTAGCTGTTGCTTCCCTATACGGAAAGAAGTAAGAACGGTAGGCACTCTGTCGATGCGTAGTGGCGTACCAAATAGTAATATTGATTTTTTACTTTGGCTAAAAATTACTCACTATACTTCTACGACGAGCATCGATACTTTTCAAGAGTGCAATTTTTGGCGTAAATGTAGCAGTCGTTTGTGAACTATCGTACGGGTAGTTTTTTTTTCAGTGCGTAGCAAGCTTTATAGCATTGACGCACTCGCACGATATTTTAGATGCATAATGACTACCGGGTAAATCATTTATTACTTTTACCGCAAATGTAGTCAAAGATAGATTGCCAATGGCGTACACGTAAAATAATAATAAAATTATAGGGAAAAATTACGTTGTATTGATGCGGAAGCTACTACTAGTCATCGGTACAAATCATCTCGAGGGAGTCTGGAACTCCGTTGACCCGAGAAAAGGAAAAAAAAAGTAACAGAGGTCGAAAGGTCGCGCAGGCAAGGTATCTGTGCGAGTAAATAAAAATAAAACAGTTGTATTTTTATACCATCACGTACATATCATTGTTCCTTGTGAAATATAGATCTACCTTGACGCGCGTCTGCAAAAAATAGCATCAGATGCGAATGAATCATAAAGAGTGAATGTAAAATGCCGGCGACTTATTGATTAGCAATTTGTATAGTTACGCAAATTAATCGATGAATATCTTATAATATATTATCTTTTTCACTCGACGCGGAAGGTGGCCTAAGTAGACAAACGGCTCGTCCCGCTCGTGTGGGATGCGCAAATGGAATTTTCGGTAAAACGAGATCGCGCGTCCATAAAATAGTAGCCAAAAATGTACGACCGTAAACACACCTGTCGTCGAGCTCTTGCGACTCTCTTTTATTCCTGCTCACGTCTCACGAGCGTCTCTCTCTCTCTCTCTCTCTCTCTCTCTCTCTCTCTCTCTCTTTCTCTCTCTAAAAAAGGATGAAATGAATGAGCAAAAGATGTCCAGACCCGGTAAGTAACAAGAATCGCGCGTTTAATGATGCCTTTGTTCGTGGCCCAGAGGAGGACGCTTCATGCGGATATATTGAGACTCGATATCTGCATCTCGTATTAAATAGAGGGTCATTACATGCCGTGTACTTGCTCTGGGCCCTGCAAAAGGGTAGATCCTTTTACCTCACTTTTTCACGAGAGGTGGTGGTACGGCTCCTGCTGCTTCTTCCAGGTATACATTACTGAATTTCGAGAAGTTTGACATACCCGAGTCCGGAATATTTAAATAATCTTTGAAATATTATGAAAATCAGCAAGCAATTTTGTCACTAATTAGCCAGTGGCGTTAAAATGAAAAATTACAAGCCCCTTTGTGACGCAATTTTTCAGAAATTCAAGGTCTCGTCTGACATTTTTTACGAAATCAGCCTTTTAATCATGGCGTTGGCGCGCGTTCTTTTTTTTGAGAATACGCCACGCGTCGAGGCAAAATATTTTTTACCGCAAAGGCGGTCACGCATTGCAGCTCGACTCGCTGCAGTTACACGCAAACGAGTGAAAGGTTAAAGTCAAGCGTATGCTCATATTATATTACGCGTGTGCGTATTCAGCGTCGCATTTTCTAATTACTGCAGGCAAGCATACGAGCTTACAGGCACGTTGGTATGACTCGGTGCAAAGGATTTGTTCATTTATGCGGTCTAAAAAGTTATAGATCATGAACGGTCTACGAATGCTATTTCGTCGACGTTCGTACTGGACGAATGAATTGCTCAAGCAGAACTCACTTTTTTCCTTGCTCTTGATAATAATTTACGCAGATTGATTTTTTATCGCATTCTTTTTTTTACGAACGATAATCATTTCAGGTAAACAATACTCTACAACTGTATCTTAAAAATCATTCGGCGGTGCTCGAGCGATGTGTAAATTTGTTACTTTTCATTCCCAAGTTATTTGTTTCCATAAAGTGAAGGTTAGCGCTGTTTGTAGAAAATTAATGAAACGGCACAGTAAGTGTTTATTTACGTATACGTTGAATATAGTAAAGGTGTAAACATGCGTAGACCGCTGGATAACTCAATCGCACACGCTGCAACGCTTATGTTCAGGGAAATTAGACGAAGGCGTTTAATTCGATATTCACGTATTCCCATTGAAATTGCTCAAGAAGCGATGGATAAGGCTTTTATCTCATTTACGCGATTGCAAAAGTAAGATAGATTTGGCGTGAAACGTGCCACTTTCTCGATTGAAAATGTTGGATAGGCTATCGACTGTGAAAACTGCAAAAAACGCACTGCACACGCTGTTTGCGTTACAAAGTAACGAGCACTCGCGCAAGCCGCGCTCGCCTATTCGCGCACGAATTCGATTGCTAGGCTCGAGACCGAGGCTGCAATTAAGAAATGCGCGGCCAATACACGCGCACATGCACTTTCTATATCATGCGCGCGCTCGTTTAGTAGGTAGCTTGTAAACGCGTTTCAATGCGCGTGAAGGCTTACGACCTTACGTTTATCCTCCTTTGTCTTGC